TCGAGAAGCAATTTCAAATAACCTAAAGTGATCGAGACTTGCAGACATGTTCTCACCAATTTGAATGTATTTGTGATATCCAAAGAAGATGAGATATTCCAAATAAACTTAGGAATGTCATAAACAGAAAAGGTAATTAAATATAATATAAGCAATATACACAAATGGTTTCCCAGTTTTCTAGCTGCTGCTTACCGAGTCAAAGCATATAAATTGACACACAGGATTTATATACTATGAGACACTTTACGTACTTCTGGCATAAGCTTAAAAATTATGATACAAAAAGAAAAATCATCATTTATATTTCATATGATTTTGCTGGTACTTTTTGCCATATTTACTAAAACACAAATATAAACCCTTTCCATAATGATGCAAGATATCACAACATCTTTGATAGGAGAAAACTACATGCTACAAGTTAGTGCACAGCATTCACCATTGATGGTTCTAACACGCCGCCATTGCCATAAATGGTTGCAGTTAAGATTGCCTGTCCAGATCTTAATGAAGGCTTCGAATATGCCGGGGCCATTTCATGATTATGGTCCTTAAAAAATCTTGTAACCTTCCATTGTCCATTGTCATCACATCCGAAACATATCATTGCTTTGCATCCTGTCCTTGTTTCAGGCTTTTTATAAGTAAGGGCATCAACTTTGTAGTCCTTATAGCCTTCCTTGGAACGACAGTAAGACTTTGTTCGAACCCTCTTTGTCCCCATGAAATAATATTGCTTTCCTCTCCTGACGCTAAAACCCATTGCTTGTGCATAATCACAGTACAACATATAGGCCTCCTCCTCACTGTACACAACTTGCTCCAACAATTTCTTTTCTAGCTCCTCAATAAGAACTTCATTTGAGCCCACAATCTCATCAACCACTTCCCCACCAGAACGTGGAATCACTCTTCATCGCTATCAGTACAATTGGCTTCATGACTTTTGAGCTCCGGTTCAGAACTCACCATTTCTGCAAATTCAACAAGTAATAGCTCCAATAAGTCAACCTTTAGAGACCTTGATAATGAGAAAACAGCATCCAACTTGTGTTGGTAGTGGAGTGCATAATTACTAGAAATGTATACATTCTTGGGAACATCACAGTGCTAATTCATAATATCATAGGATTATAGGAAAAACTGAATGAGCCAAGCTTCAATTTAGTTGGTGTTTCGAAAACACTTTTGGGTTAATGCAGAGCTAGGCGAGTCTATAAATGTCTCGAGGCAAAAAATTTTATAGATGCTGAAGTTGTAACAAGTGAACTATTGTATTGGACCAATTGGTTCAATAACTCTTACAGTTGCATTCTCAGAAGTTAACAAAATTTGCAAAGATTTAACTTGCTTAAAGATTTTAAATAATATCATGAAGCTTATGACTCATTTATGAGGGCTTCACTCATTACAAATGAGATTTGTCAAGCAATATGCCTCAACACATTGCCAAGATAAAAACCCTTTGCGTGAACTAGCAGGGTCTCCAACTATGTGCCCGACTCAAGTGACGACCACAAAGCAATATAGAACAAACCTATTTCTAGTTGTTTAAATACAATTTTTAACAATTTTAATGTCTGTTTAATAGAGCTTTGAATACAATTTCAAAATTATATGTGAAAAAATTTCAAAAATTAGGTGATCACATTCGCGACGACATCTAATAAAAAATTTATAGGTTGTCCACAAGATCATAATCAGATCACAATCACATATTAAGTCATACATCAAACAATTAATCGACTATAAATTATTTTATCAATCACAATCACACGTTTAATTGATCATGTTCATTATTTTTCCACCCTACCTAATTTCACCCCACCTCACCTCCTCCCACTTCTTCCATATC